ATGGCAGTTAGAATTGAGTATGAGATACGTATCTCTTCTACTGACATCTGACAAACAACATATGGAAGTCTTTATATTTACCAATAGAGTGTTTATCAAAAAGCTTTACATGCTAATGGATTATGTTTCTTTCATGTTAATGTCTAAAAACATTCTGTGATTTTGATTGTGGCTAAAACTTGGTCTTTGCTTTTACCTCCTGGCTGATTATGTGCTATAGACATTAATGTAAAGCATAGTAACAGCAACTAGTTTTAATTCACATTTTCCCCAATCTTAAAATTGGTGTAGAATTTATAAATGACAAATTGGCGTGTATACTTTAAGAAACTGAATAAAAAACAATTTAGTGTACATGGTTGTTGTTCTTGTTCTTGTTCTTGTTATGTGCTGACGAGTTGGACCCAACTCATAATGACCCCTCTTTGGGTTTCCAAGGAAGTATCACTATGGAAGTAGATTGCCCAGCCTTCTTTCTGAGGAGTGGCTGGTAGGTTTGAACTGCCAGCCTCCTGGTTAGCAGTCAAGTGCCTTAGGTACTACACCACCAGAGTTCCCAATGTACATGATAGTCCCTCCTTATCTGCTGAGGGAGGATATGTTCCAAGATCCCTAATGGATGACTGAAACCACAGATAGTACCATTCCTTATAAATGCTGTTTTGTCCTATATATACATACCTATGATAAAGCTTAATTTATAAATTAGACACAATAAGAGAGTAATAGTAATTACTAACAGGTGGGTAGCATATACAGTACTCATACAGTGGACAAAGGAATGATTCACATCCCAGACTGGATAGCAGGGACGGAACAAGATTTCATCACGATTCTTACTTAACATTTTCTGACCACGTTTAACCATGGATTAGTGAAACCGCAAAAGCAGTGGATAAAGGGGGACTACTGTATTCTTGATATCTTAGCATGCTTCCAAAAATGATAGGGTATAATTAATATGTGCATTTGTGTACGTTGAGATTAGAATTTTGAGTGTGTAACAATTGAAGACTTTTTTATGCCTGTTGTTTTCAGACAGCACAGAGCTAAGCTGTTACAGGGCTGAAAATGTAAATTTCCCATGAATCTTTCAAAATTTAATTTAAATACCACTCTCTTACAACCACTAAAATTGTCCCCACATTGAAAGAAAAAGGCTACACTGGTTTATTTTCCTTTTGTAAGTCAGGCAAAGTGGCTGTCTCCTATCTGCCCTATCACTTTGATAACCCTGACAGCATTTTTAGAGAAGCACAAAGAAAATAATGTTCCAGTTTCCTCTGATCTTTCTCTTTCCTCTCTTTATAATTTACCCACTGCTGTTTTGTTAAGCATACTGGCCCATTGGTCAGCTTCTATGATAAAACTTTTATTTGATTTAGGAGCTGGTTGTATGTCCAGGTTTAAAGATACAAACTCTGGAAGCTTTAGATATCAAGTACTGTTTGTGAGCTCACCTCTGACATTTAATACTAATGATGTGCTTTGCAAATCCAAATGAGAGAATATGTTAGAGAAAAAATCTGAGAGGTCAAACAGTCGGTACATAGGAGACCATCCTGCAGTCAGAAAGACCGGTCTTTTGTTTGGGAATTAGTGGTTGTGAAATAATCCTAGGGAGACTAGTTAAAACCTATACAAACAAATGTTCTCATATTGACTAAGAAATTACAATTGAATCATGTGGAATGGTATCCGTTATGATTTCTCTTTGTTGTAGTAGCCCTATTATATATGCACCTAATAAAAATATTGCCCAGTAGTATGGAATGTTAATGTTAATATCACCTGGGCAAAGACTCTTCTCATTTCATATGCTCAATTTGTACATTGCGTAATTAAAATCCAGAGGAGCTTTTACACTAAAGCATGTGGAACTATGGCTCTTCCAAGATACTTTGACAGTGCTTCTTGCTTTTATATAGGAAACTTATTCCAAAGATGAGAGTTTTAGCTCTGATGGCTGCAACTTCCAAGCATTCCATGTGTGATTTCACCATGCAAAAAGACCATTTACAGCTGTCAGGGACACATCTTCAGAATCGCTATCTTTCTCTTAAGTAAACTGGAGTTTGCACAAGACTGTAAAATTGTATTTTGTGATTGACTGAAGTAAGGCTAAAGAATTTTCAGAGAATGTTCGTTTTTATTGAATTAGGAAACCAAAATACTTTTCGTACTCTTTCTATTTATTTCTGTAATATTTCACCTTTTCAGCTTAGATCTGTGAGGGTGTAAAAATTACTTTGATGCAAATAACTCCATGTTCTTCCAAATCAGTCATTACAGTTGTTTTTTAGAAAATAAATCTAGCTATTATCTGTAAGGTCTAAAACCCCAAAATTTTAACACTGTGGGCCCTAATTCAACTATATATTTACACAGGTTAAAACAAGAGTTTGAACAGCATTTGTTTTCTGCTCAACTAGCATATGAGAAAATATGAAATGACAAATGCATGTGGCAAGAAACAACTCAAATCACCATTAATATGACATTGGTGGGGGGGGGGGAACCCTATCTTAAAACCATAAAATAGACTCCTGATGCCACTGTAAAATGGAACGAGAAAGGCTCTATACTGTGATGGAGTGGTAGTGAAGATACATTGTTAAGTGAAAAAGTAATGGGCATAGGAGTGTGTAGTATGCTGATTTTCTGTAAGAACAGGGAGAATATGTGTACTTACATTTTCATAAATAAACAATGGAAAGATAATCTAAAACTTAATTTAAAATCCTAGTAGAATAAAAGATTGCCTATGGGTTGGAGGAAAAGGGGAGGAAAGAGAGATAGAAACCCAGACGTCTCTGTATGATGTTTTAAATTTTTACTTTAAAATGAAATGAAACCCATTGCCATTGAGTTAATTCTAACTCATGGTGACCCTGTGTTTTGCAGATTAGAACTGCTCTGAAGGGGTTTTTTGGCTATAATGTTTGTGAAGCAGTTCACCAGGCCTTTCTTGTGCAGAGCTGTTGGGTGCATTCCAACTACCACCATTTAAGTTAGCAGCTGACCTCAAATTGCTTGCACCACCCAGTCCATTTAAATGTTTTACACAATTAAAAAGCAGATATTAATCACAAAAACATTAAACCAAGCAAGACCTAAATTTCTAGAAAAACTGAACAAGTGAACCTAACTTTATATCAAATTAGTAGCATAATCACATGGAAATTATTTTAAGTGACTTTAAAGCATAGCATTTTGACAATTCATCAGTGAAATAAACCCTAAGGTCAAAAAAAAAAAAATTTAACTATATTAAATTATCTTGTTAATGGTAATGTTTATATTATTATTTTGAAACTAATACATACTCACATATTAGGAAAGATAAATAAGTACTTTTTGATCATTTCATTAAAGCTCTAAAAGAGATACCAATATAAAATCAAAGACATTAAGTAAAAATCCTGTCATCTTTAATTTGGTTGGTAATATCAGTGTACACTCATATTAGTTTTTCTCTTCTAAAATGTGTATTTCCTAACCCACCCACTGAAAAGATTCAGAAGTGATGATACTTCTGAACTACTGTACAAGATGAGCCTGGAACATCTTGTCACCCCTTCACTGGAGATCATAGCAAAAGGATGCAGGAACCCATATGAAGATATTCTCACCAGCAAAAGAGAAAGTAATTTGAGCATCAAAATATGAAAATTACTACCAGGACTGAAGTGCATTACCAATATAAATATTCATGAACTTATGATGGCCATCTTTGGTCACCTTTGGACCAAAATTGATAAATAAGGGAAAGAATCAAGCATTTATACTGTAGAGATTATATCTCACAGTCAGTAGTCCATGAAGAGAAGTGCTTCATTATAGAAGAATCATAGCTAATAAATGATGGAAGAATAATACAATTAGAAAATTACCATTTTGCAACTTCTTATAAAATAGTGGATCTCAGCAACAAACATCAGTGTCTGCTAAACCATTAAGTAGAAGACTGACAGAGAACTTTCTAATGGAAGGGTCAGGCTGACATCATGTTGGACTCACTGATTAAGCTTAACATCACTGAAAATGGGAGAAGCAAATCCTGATATGATTGACAGGATTTGCACAGCACCATCTATGATGCATTCTTGCTACTAACTACTAGTTTACACAAACTGTGGGGGATAGAGGAGCATGGGTAATGATTCTGTGAGGATGATCAGCCCATCCAGAATGGAAGCTAATGTTATTCCAGTCCAGTATGTGGAAAATTTTACACAATAAATTATTCAGTTTCTTCAATAAATAAATGGCAATGAAAGGGAGAACAGTGAACTGTAAGTGATTAAAAGAGACTTACAACCAAGTGCAGCATGTGGACTGTGTTTGGATCCTGATTCAAACAAACCAACTATAGAAAATGACATTTTTTTTTAGACAATCAATGAAAATTAAATTTGGACTGTATAAAATGATATTAAGGAATTATTGATCATCTTGTTGGGTATGAAAATGATATTGTAGTTAATTTTTTAAGTTCTTATCAGAGATGCATACTAAAATATTTAGAAGTGACATGGGAGTTACTTTTAAATAGTTCAGGTCCATCCAATAGAAAAAGAATCGAAGGAGGGGAATAGATTAAATAAGAGTAATAGAAAATTAATGATTATAGAAGCCGGGGGATAGGTATAGTTGGGCTCTTATTCTTTTTGTATGCATTTCCATGATAAAAAGTTAAAAATAAAAGTTTGGGGAAAAAAAAGAAAGAACGAAAACTTCCTACCAGATTAGCTAGGATCATTATAGTAGTGCCTTCTCAGAAACATTTTAGACTTGGGAGTCTTAGTTTGTAGGAATGCTGATTTGTGGGTTTCAGAGAGGAAAGTTTCTTTGTTGTTATAGCTTAACTACAGTGTCCTTTTTTTCCACCCAATTATATTTTACAAGTAGTAAAATTTCCTCTTAAAGAATATCACTTACGTACAGTGTTGTTAACAAGCTTACCCCAAAATACACTGACCATTTACTGTCTTTTTCAGACCAAGCCACCCTCGTAGAACAAGTAAAAAGAGTAAGAGAAATTGAAGCTATTGAAAGTGATTCTTTTGTTCAGCAGACATTCAGATCAAGTAAAGAAGTCAAAAAGGTAAGTTTTCATTTAGGCATTATGAATAAGACTTTGGACTCCAAATAAAGAGATGTTTTTTTACTGGATTTTACTTAAATACGAGTGCTTCTGCTAATAGATGAAGTAGGGTGAGAGAGTTCGGGAAGGTTAGAGAATGTATCGATTGAGAATCAGTTCAAGTTTACCTTGTACAAAAATGTACCTTAAAAATGGATCTGATAACATTTTTCTTTTAAAATTCACTGAAAAGACCAAGTAAGATGTCAACATGACAGTTCTGTAAAGTAATACATATTTCATGAGCATATACAATTTTCTTTTCAGACGTATACACTTTTTGAACTGACATTGTTAGAAAGAAGTTAGAAAAGGACTTTAAAAATAAAACTGTTACCCAAATAAGAACAAATATATACTGATCACAGCCTTGAAAACCCAGTGGAGCAGTTCTACTCTGCACACTTGGGGTTGCCGTGAGTTGGAATCAACTTGATGGCAACTAAGAACAATAACTGAGGTATGGGTGTCACTTATTCAGCTCTAGTAAAAGGAGTTTTGATTAGTATTTCAGTTCTGTTGACTACCTCATGTATTTTTCACTAATTAACAGGACCACTTTTAGAAATTTATGTTCTGTTAGTAGGAAAAGGCATTCTACTATGAAATACATGTATTCTTTTAATAACATACATGTAACAAAGGCATGGTTATAGTTAGCCACATATTCAGAAATACTCTACATCTGTTAATATGTAAAATGTCTGTATAATATCCTGCAGACAAATGAATCATAATTCATTTGCTCTCTGTAGTTGAATATTTAAGTAGTTGTAAGTTTGGAGCTATAACTTACATCTTTGTAAATGTCCATTATTATCACCTTGATAATTTTTCAAGATGATTTCAAGATAAATTTTTCAAGGTGGAGTTGTTGGTTTAAAGGTCAGTGTTGTTTATTTTAGTACACGTTGCCAAAATCATCCTCCAAAAACGTTGTACCAATTCAGATTCCACCCAAAAGTGCAAGGAATGTCTGCCTGTCGCATGCTGCTCAACACCAGGTCCTATCAGACTTTCTTTTATAATGACTGACATGATTGGTGGAAATTGATCTGTTGTTCCCATTGCCATTTCCTTTATTATGAGTGAGAGAAATATCTTTTCCATTACTATAGGAGGGAGCTCTGGTAGCGTAGTGCCTAATGCATTTGACTGCTAATCAGAGGCTGGCAGTTCAAACCCATCAGCCACTCCTCGGAAGGAAGATTGGACAATCTACTTCTATAGAGATACTGCCTCAGAAACCCAAGAAGGGGTCACTGTGAGGAGACAGATTGAGCCTGTGTAGCATGCTGGGGACAGCATGAAACAGACTGGATAACCATGATCCCTGCCTTGTCATTTTCTTGGTTTCATTTGAACTTTTTGTAATTTACCACTACAAGTCCTAAAAACTGGAGCTGTGAAATGGACATAAATATAGTTGCCCATTATCTGTAACTCTTTCTATTGTGTATTATAAAGCCATTTATATGCCCTAATATAATCGTAATTTATTTTAATATTTGCTTTCCTAGTATATATTTTCTGAAGTTCATCATGACTTCTCAAATCTCATGGATTCTCTTACGATAAACCCACATTTTCTTTCTGTGGAAAGACTTAGTTCTCTATAGTTAATATCCTGGGTTTTTTCTAAACGACACTTTCCTGCTTGGTATTAAGTACTAATAATTCTTTTTAAACTTATTTTTACTGCCTCTTTTCCAAGTTATTAAAAGGAGCTCTTGGTGGCATAGTGCTTAAGGCATTTGACTGCTAACCAGAAGGTTGGCAGTTCAAGCCCATCAGCTGCTCTGTGGAAGGAAGATGAGGCAATCTACTTCCATAAAGATTTACCACCTCAGAAACTGCAAAAACGGCAAGGAGGCCACATGTTCTGACCTCCTCTAA